CCTTCTCCTCCATTCTCCTCTCGGGATCTTGGGCACACATGCACATGCGCCCGGCATGAGTTTTAAGCCACTGGGTCCGGGACGCGAACCATGGTCGACTACATGGGAGTCCAGCGACATAGCCATTACGCTAACTGCTGGTCCCTAAAGTCTAATCTTAACTTTGCTGGGGTAAAACTTGAAATCTATCTTCTCTTTTCTGACTCTGACTGTTCTACACATTTTCTTCTTTCAAACCCTCCACTCTTAGTCCACATTTAGCTTGTGCTGAGCAATAAAGGGTAACCATAATTATTGTTATTATTTTTTGCTACGGGGCATGGATACTTGCTAGAGAGAGGAGAAAGCACTTCTCGTTTGGGTGTGGTATAATCCCTTCTCATTTCTCCATCATTTCATGATTTGGGGCAGCCATGCACATGCACCTGGTGTGTTTTTTAAGTTGCTAGGGCTGCAAACTACATAGTTGGCCATGTGGGATCCAGTTCTCTTAGTCACCAAGCCACAGAGTTGGCCCTTCTTTTGTTTTCTTTTTCTTTTTCTTTTTTTTCTTTTTTTTTTTTTTATGTTGAGAGAGAGGTATTTTTGTTAGGGTCGCTCCATGTCATAATCCTTCCTGTCCTAGCCTCCCAGTTAATTAAGACCACAGGTGTATGTCAGTGTGCCTGGCCTGTTTAGGTTGGGCCACGAACCAAACCCATGCCTCCCATGAAGCCCCAGCCAGCATGCAGTGGTACCCTCCCACTTGTGTTAGAGATGGTGGGTCATTTACTATAATTATGTCTGAAGGCAAAGAATACAGTACAGCATTAGGAAATATGGAAGAGAGTGAGGCAAAAAAAAGACATCCGTAGTAACTGGAATACCTGAGTGAGGTTGAGAAGTGAAAGCAAGACCATGTGAGAGAGTGAGCAGACCCACCTGCCTGAAACAGGAGGCTAGAGTGCAGGGCTCATAGGAAATGAAGGGAAATGAGGGGGCAGGGGGGTCCCCTCACCTGTCCAGCTCCACTTCTTTTGTCAGCACTTTCTCACTGATGGTCTGGATGTCATCCTCCAGTTCTAGGATGCGGGCCACGTGGTCTCCCTGTTGCCGGCTCAGGATGTCCCTCTCTTCTGTGAGCTCCCCATGGGACCGGGAAATTCCCTGGAATTAAGGTCCCCCCGAAAAGAGGGAGATAAGAACTCATTTCTCAAATGGAGGGACAAAGATTTAGGAGGAGCACACTGGTGTACTGAATCCTGCTCACTGCCCATCAGACACACCAACTCACTACGCTGAGTTTGAGTGCTCTCACTCCCTACCCCATTGTCTTCCTTGGAAAAGAAACAGTGTAAGAATGTAAAGGAACATTCCCATAGAAACCATCTTTCACCTCACCCCAGAATTTCTATATTCAGAAAACTGAGTCTCATTACCAGTTTGGGACATTCTCTTGTCATGTCAAATTTAATCTCACTTGTCCCTTTTTTCCTTTCTTTTTTTTCCAGTTCGATATAGAGCATGTATACTCACCAGAGACAAAGCGAGGGGAAGTGAGAGAGCCCCCCTGGGGAGATGGCCATACCACAAGACTGTTTCCTCCATTCTCCTCTTGGAATTTTGGGCCTGTGTGCACATGCACTCAGTATGTGGTACTAAGTCCAGGACTAAAACCATGCAGTTGGCCATGTGAGATCCAGACATCTCAGCTACCATGCCACTGGTTACCCCCCATACTTGGTGTCCTTTAAGCCTATTTTCTTGATGCCAGAACCATCTTTTAAAAACCTACTAACATCTCTTTCTATTATTCTCTTCACTGGATTAGAATTTTGGACACTGGAATCTACCTGGTCCTGGCCCAACCCTCACCTTGTACTGCTCCATCAGCTCTGCATGTTCCTGCCTGGCAGTTGCCAGAGCCGTCTCAAGCTCCTGCACGTGGCTCCTCAGTTCTGTCACCTGTCCCTCCAGCTGTAGCTTCAGCTGCATCAGGTCATTCCGTTCTTGCTGGCTCTCATCCAGTTGGTTCTACAAGAAGCAGAGTGAGAAGGGGAGTGTGCTTCTGAAACACCCATCCTGAACCCCATTCTCTAGGTGCAAGTTTGGGCTGGGAAGTTACAGAAGTTTAGGCTAAAAAGAGGAGAGTTTGGGAAGGCCTGGTGTTCTACTGAAACCTGCCCACCACCCAAGAGACAGGGCAGCTCACAGGACTCTTACCTGCCTATCCTCCTCTTACCTTGGCCCTCCCTAGGCCCAGTCCTCTCCTTGCCCAGCAACTGTAGGAACGGCTCGTCTAGCGCAAGTCCTTGGGCAGGATATAGTGCTTGGAGAAGGTGGGCTCAAAGAGTTCTTATGAAACCCTGAGTTATACTGCCCTGTGGGTGGCTTGCTTGCCTGCCCTATATGTTCATGTCTGTGTTAGATCAAGCCTTTCATGAAGGCAGGACTTTAGTTTTTAAAATTTTTAAATTTGTAATTTTTTTTAACCAGAGAGGGACAGAGTGAGAGAGAAAGTGAGTAAGCAAGCTGCCAGGGCCAGGACTTAGCCCGTGGGTGGCCATGTGGGAGTCCAGTGCCCTTAACCACTGCATCACCTGCCGGCCTCAAAGGCAGGACTTTGTATAACTTCCAGTGATGTCTTCAGTTGAAGCTACAGGTGACGGGACGTGAAAAGGGAAGGGACCCACTGCACTGTTGTCCTCCCACTTCTATACTCTTCTATTCTTTTCTTACCTGCAGTACAGTTGCCTTGGGGACAACCAGCAGAATGTCAGAGCCACCATCAGCCTCCTCCAGGGTCACGAGTTCATCCATGGGCCTTGGCTCTCGGAACTGGAAAGGGGGGCTCTGTCCACACACCCGGCCCTGGCGGTTCACATAGCGGAATTGGTAGAGCTGGGCTCCCGGTTTGGGCAGGTAGCTGGCTGTGGGAAGGACAGACCGAGGACCCCAATATGCTCCCAGGCCCTCAAAGACTCAGCAGGTCCCTCTTCCCCTCAGTGTGCCAATTACCCATCGCTCTTGGCTCCAGCCCCTTGCTCCTCATCCCATATGCTGTTTTCTCTAGTCACCAGTGCTCACAAGTCATTTCAGTTCTTTGGATGTTCTTTCCTCTCCTTTTGGCCTAGCTTTCTCCTTCTTCTCTTTTCCAAACTCACTCCCCTCTGTCTTTAATCATAATAGTGCTAGTTACCACTTACTGAGTGCCCACTATGTACCCGACGGTGCGCTAACAACTTAATCTGTATTATTTTAAATCCTTACATCGTGCTTATTGCCAGGCATGACCTTTTACTGTTAAAATAACAGACACAACAATGTTACGTAATCTGCCCAAGGTCAAACAGCTTGTAAGTACTAGAGCTAAGATTTGAACCTAGATCTTTTGAAATGTTATAACCACCCTTTTCCCAAAATACAATATTACCTTTCCCTCTCCCTGCACCTTAGTTCCATAAAGCAGCAGTCCCCAACCTTCCTGGCACCAGGGACGAGCCTCATGGAAGGCAATGCCTCCATGGGTTAGGGGGTTGGTCTCAGGATGACCCATTGGAACCCACATCTACCGTGCACCCCATTTCTGCCACTACCACTTGTAATATACAATGAAATAACACACAACAATAGGGTTCACGCTCCCATGTGGATCCAATACCACTGCTGATCCACTAGAAGGCGGGCTCTGGGTGGCAATGTGAGTGATAGGGAGTGGCTGCAAACACAGATGAAGCCACACTTGCTTGCCCACCACCCAGCCCCTGCCAGTGTCGGGGGGCAATAGGCCACAGATTGGTACTGCTCTGAGCCTGGGGGTTGGGACCCCAGCCATAAAAAGAGTTCTTCCTTCTTCGAGAATGCGGAACTAGATGTTCTCTACAGTTCTTCCTACCTCTAAGTCCCTGATTCTGTGATAAACCCAAGATTCTCTATCTGCTGACCTCTATTGGGTATACTCTCATTTTAGTTATTTGTATTTACTGTTCTTTGTTCGCTATGTCTTTTATGTTTCTGAGTTCACTACCTTTATACAAACCCCGATTCCCTTGGCTCTTCCCTCCCAGTTTCCCATCTTCCCTTGTACCTTGGAACTGGACACTGGCATGGATGGGGGAACCATCCGTTGTACTTTCAGGCACTGAAGACCACACAAACGTGTGGTAATCCCGAACACAGGCAGCTTCCACCTGCAAAAGCCCAAGGTGGAGGAGGGTATGGAAATGGAACTACCTTCTGTGGATGGTAGAAGGGGCTGAGGGATTGGAGGAGGGAGGTAGCATGGTGTTACAGTGGCAAAGAAGATGAGAGATGGAGAAAATAACATATCTGGAAAGAGCAGGGCTCAGATGGGGAGATAAGCTCTACTTATACAGATGGCCTCTGTCATCTGTTACATCTTTCTCCCTTCTTCTCGATCAACCCGAGATTGGGAATCCAAGAACCAAAGTATCCCTTAATTCCAACCAACCCATGGCCCATAAACCTGAGCCAAAATAGGTTCCAGGGATACCTTAAAGATGCCAATCCAGTCACTGGCACTAGGCATGGTGCCTGGGGGAAGCGTGTAGTGACATTCCACCTTGGTATTGGGGATGTAGGTCCGGGCTACATTCAGAAAGTTGACTCCACCCCGGGATGGTGCCCGGCTTAGTGATGATTCTTCCATCTTCCCCTCAAGACAGATGCTCTCCTACAAAAAAAAAAGGGTTGATATTCCATAGACTCTCTATCCCACCTCTTCCAGCCTGCTCCATCCCCACCCACCCATAGCCCCTGCACTGCTACACCTGGAGATGAAGGCATACCTGCTCTCCAGACCCTAAGGATTATAGGGTCTTTTAAAGCTAGCACTCTTAGTCTCCAGGACATGGGTCTGGTCTTCCAAGTCAGTCCCCACCATGTTTCATGCTGTACCTTTTCTGGCTGAGACCCTTCCTAGAGATAAGCTTTCTCTAATTTCTATTCTCTCTTCATTGCTCCACGACTAAGTCTCAGTACCCAGGCTCTCCCTGCCTTAGTTTCTCCTTTTCTACCTCTTGTTCTTCTTGCACATTCCAAATTCTCCAGCCTCCATTTTCATCCTATCCTGCCTTCTGTCTTTTGAATTCAAAATCCAACTGAAGGGTGAGGCTCTGTCATTCAGAGCAGGTCTCCTTACCTACTCCTGAGCTGGTTGATCCAGCTATACCCAGGGATGAATTATGACACCCAAAAGCAGCAATTACTCTCTGAAAGGGATGGTTCAGTCTTCAGAACTGGAATATGCTTGAAGGAGTGGAACCAACAGCCTAATCCTCAGGCCCTGAGTTCTCAGGCCCCTCTCTTTCTCTGAGCTGTCCACCCCCTGAGTTCTAGGAAAGCAGAAAGCTTCTTTCTGCCCTTATTCAAGGGATAAAGAGAAAAGGATGTAAGGAAAGACAGGTTCTGTCCCTCAACTTCATTATTCCAGGAAGTCAAGAATTGTGGAGGCGGCAGCTTCAAGGGTGGAGCAAAACACTCAGCA